AAAACACAATAACAGTAATGAAACTCCAATGCTAAAAGCCCCGATGTCACATGTCCTATCAAAGCAAAGCCTAACATTAATGAAGCCTAAGCTTCATCACCAACATCGTCAGCCTCATGCTGATGATCACCTGTATAATAACCAAAGGAAGACAACACAAAAGAAAAGGGAGTGAGAAACATCTCACTCTGGCTCACAATGTAGGAATATACACCGGATAGTCAAACACAAACAAACATGTATATTTGTACATAGCATAGATAGATTAACAATAATATCCCATTCCACTCATTAAAGGCATAAAAATCACTTTAACATATAACATTAAAATGCACATGTAATGGACACGGATTACATATTATCATGCATGTGGTGCCAATAACACATATCACATGGCGTATTGCCGCTAGCAATACACGAGAGTAGTCTAGGAGCACATGTCGGGTCACACCCTCTACGCACTCTTACTAGAAAGACATACTATCAGGGTCTCATCGGGATAGCTAAGCCGCGCAAGATACATCCCATGCACACAATGGGCGAGACTGGGACTTCTAAACCGAGCTATCCCCAAGGACTAATTCCCAAGCTTTTACATAAGGGAGCCTTCTCTGGCGGTGTATTCCATATCGTACCCTTAAAAACATTTATGCAAATGATACATGTCAATCAAGACTCTATGCATTCTCATATCACATTATCATATCTCATCATCATATCTCATCATATTCACATAGTCTCCACAGAGCACTTTAATTCATATTAAAACTTATCTATTTGCGAAAGTAAACACGTATTCGTACATCTCATTCAACAAGGAATATAACAGAATAATCAGAAAGCAAAACAGAAAATATTAGAAATTTGCTCGTTTCTTATAGGATTCCCATAGGAACCCACAGAGCACTCTAATTCATACAATAAACATTTAAAACAGTACAATTTACTTATACAATTACCTCTTCAAACAATTTCCTCTTACAATCACCAATACATTCCCTTAAGAACCCATAGAGTTCTCAAATTATACAGTTATTTACATATAAGAAGAGCAAATAGAAGAAACATATATAATTGGGAAAAACCCCTCATAAATGAGCATACAACAAACATAAGATTGAGGGCCATATTTAAACCAGAACGACACATTTGGAACGGCCCATTCTTAAACTTGACGACAACCGTACACTTGCGGTTTTTAACACAACAAGGGTGTTTTACACCTTCTATCATAAAGGGCTTCAAATAAAGGTAGGACCAAGATCCTACATCTCTCGAAAGCTTGAAGGTCGCTAGAGCAACCTTCTGCAGATGAGGACACTCTATTGCCTAAAATATCTTCTCCACCTCAAACATCCACTTGATGGCTTCATTTGGGTCATATGCACCCCTACATGTAGGTGGGTTATTCTGTTGAAACCTAGACAACTAGTTGGTCTTAATAGCATTCATGTTCCCCAAAGTGTGATTTATCGCTTGAAAGGTGTCAACTAGAGCCCAATCATTCCTCTTAACCATACCCTTTTGATTCATAGAAAAGCATACAATTCAGTCAACAACATCAAACAATAATAAACAATTTCAACAAGAAAACAATTAAGAGTACACATACATCATGATAAACACATAACATATTGACTAGATGAACCAACCTGCTTTGTTATCACTAAATGTGACACCCTTCTACCCCAAAAGATAGAATAAGTATAATAAAGTTTCTAAAAAAATAAAAAATATATATAAATTATAATAATTCTCCTTATAAAACTTGTAAAAAGGTTTACATATGCATCCATCACTTAAACCTCACAAAACATATAAAAACATTGTTTTATTCCAAAACTAGAATAACCTTTTGAATTAATATAGTTCTGACAACAAGACAAAACTAAATAGAAATCCAACTAATAATCCTAAAACTGAACCTCGATGTTACACTATCAAAGCAAGACCCTTCTTTATGTTTCTCCCTCCTCAAATACATCATCTTGTACCCTCTCTATTCTTGCAAATGGCATTTAGTCCAAACACTAACATATAAACATAGAGAGTGAGAACACGTCTCATCTATAACAACATATACAAAGTATAAGAATAGACACACATACACATGTAATGACAAAAATCACATCTCATACACCATCATTAATTCTCCCATTCAATAGTAACAATAGTTTATAATATATATCATTCCATTCATCACTATCATCGAATCACTTATGATATAGCATAAACATAAATTAAGACTCGTGAGATGCATGCCTCTAACTCTACATACAAGTGGTACGAATCTTCCTCCTCCTCATTGAGTGTATAGAATAACCTAGGAGTAATGAACTGACACCAATCCATCAAATAGTGTAGTGACCACCCATCAATAATGATCCTCCCAAACCACCTGAACTAGAAGATGTTTATCAGGGTCTTGACGATGTGTTACAACTTGGTCATTGTAGCCTCTCATTCCCGATAGAGGATTCCCCACCATAACATCCATCGGGGCATAAGTAAATGATCTATGATATACCACCTTCATAGAGTCATATTGTCTCGTGAAACAAAGCATGATATGCATAGACTCAAACAATCAATTCAACCACATAAATGCATTCTCAACTCCTCAAGTGCTAGTCTGTAGCACTAAACTTATTCATCTCATCTCCTCATCAATACTCATCACAACATACATCCTCATAACTCAAAATTACCCACTCATCATCATTGTCATGTATTCTCATAAATTATCTCATCATGACATTCATCATAATCTTTCAAGAGCATCTCAATATAATTATTTAGTCAACATCATGGTATAACACAATAGATCACATCAACTACATATTAATTTCATTATTAGTAAATAGTAACAACCTTTTCTCATGGTTCCTCATTCAACAAAATCTCCTAAAATAAAATAATTTTAAAATAAATAAGCATGGCGACAAACGATATTTAATTCATGCTTGATGTTGAGACACTAGGGTCTCTCTACCAACCTCATGATTGACATAGAATCACTCGCGCCCAATGCGACGAGGTCTAGGACCTCTTTGTCTCAATCATGCTTGGTGTGGCCTGGGTCACATCTGGCATCGACCTCTTCGCAAATTCAACGTCAAATGGCGTTAGGCACAACCCCTTGCACTCAACATTGAGAGGTCTAAAACCTCTCTAGCAACCCCACGTCCGACGTGACCATTCTCACATCTAGCACAGTCAAAGAACCTACACATCAAAGATTTACAATTGCACGTTTCATCTTTTCCATCATTCATACCCATACAAAAATCATCAATACAAATCATTTTAATCGATCAATTGTGAATCTATACTCAATAAACATCAAGACAATATCCTTCATCGTGGTTTATACGCAATCATTCAAAATCTCCAAAATTCATGTATAACAATCCTAATCCTTAGAACGTACAACTGCAATATTAGTTTAATCATCCATAATAAGAATAATGACATATTATAGCAACATCATTCTTATAAGTATTTATACATACGAGATTCCCCTCAAATAGATAACTAAGGGGCTTAGAGATCACCCTTCTACCCTTATCCCTCATATATGCATAGGAATCTATAATTCTATTCCCTTTAGCTAGAGTGACGAATTTTAACAAGTGATGTCCCTTCGCTAGTTCCTGTCATCAATTCGTGCTTTCTTCCACGACCTCCTCTGATTCTCCTCTTGTTAGGGTTTCAGAATACACACAAAATAATCTAACCCCCTTTACACTCTTCTATTTGAATTAACTTCTGGATTGGGTCTACAGTCTAGCTCAAAGACTTCTGATGAGCTCTTCCTCTTTTATTTTATTAATAAGATATTTATTTTTTATTTCTAATTATTCTAATTCATTATTTATTTATTTTTAAAAAATGTCAAATATGTTTCATGATACTAAGAAGTCGAAGAGTAATGTTTACTTCGAATGTGCCAAATAATATTGATCATACTACAAATCAAAGTAGGAATACTTAAACCCTTCAAAAAATCATAAAATTTCTCCGTCAACTAAATGGTGCACCAAGTAGAGACCTATAATGAGTGTCCTTTGTTAAATTTTTAAGTATAGCCTTGAATTGTGGCCAGCAATGTTACATTTGAGAGAGATTCTTCTATTTATATGCTTAATGACCAATATAATTTGAATTAAGTGGTTAGAAGGGTAATTTCATTAAATTTTAATACTTTTCAATATTGCATAGGACAATATTAGCGGTAATGAACATAACTAAAGTCTAAATTATGTTCATTAGTCATCAATTAATTATTAGTCATGATTAATTATAGCATTTGAAAGAAAATATCTTAGGTCTATAGAATTAGAAGGCCCTCAATTATGCAGTAGTTGTTGGGTATCAATTTTTAGCCTTTATCCTATAGTAAAAAATCATTTTTTTTTATCTTTAGAAAAATATTTAGATTTTATAATTTTTATATTTGAGTTAATATTATTCTCATGAAATAATTATCATTTTATGACATAATTTTTTACCTTTTTTTTTATTTAAGACGTAGAACTTATATTATTAAATTTACTTAAATAAAAATTATAAAATTTAATTAGTGTATCAAGAATTACACATGGTAAAATTACACATATAAAATTTAATTAGTGTTCCATTAATTACTCAAATAATGTATTATATTCAATTTTTCAGTTTTTCTTCTATGTAAATCTTACTATTCACATTACTTGACTATATTTACGTTTGCTTAGTTAAACAACATTTTTTTTTATGTATATTTATGTGATGAGATAAATTTTATATTTTAAATGAATTAAATAAAAGTTAAAGTATCTTATTCTGAAATAACAAATAATCAGTATTTTGAAAGAAATTAATTAAAAATTAAAGTAACAAAATAATTTTTTTAATAATAAAAGATAAAAATAGATTTTATCTAAAAAATGACATACTAAAAATATATTTTCAACGTATTACGTAATAGATTACGTATTAGTAATTATTAATAACAAAATACAAATATGCATCTAGATTCTTCGGCTTCGAATGGATATGCCATAGCGGACTCGTCGATCTCCTCGTCCTATAGTTTCATTGACCTTTCCTCAATTTTTCACTCTTTTGTGCTGGGTATGTCAATCCTCTTCCCGTGCAATTTCAATTCTACTTGGAGCTGTTTCTGCTACGAAATTGTTATGTTTTCTTTTGTTTCTTTCATTTTATCTGTTTTGTTCTTTGAGGAAGCCGTCGAATTGTGAATTCTCACATTGGTTTCTTAAATTTTCCAGAATTTGGCTGTGGAAGTTGTTAATTTCTTTTAAATTTCTCGAATTACTGATACTCAGTTTGAGTTTAATTTGTTAGAATGATGAAATTTTGTCAAATTTGGCTTGTGTATGTGTCTATACCTAGTTGTTGACTTTACTCGTTTATAGATTATTGTTCTATTTGTGAAATTTTTTATTTTTGGTATTGGGACCCTAGCTGCATTTTTCTTAGAGTTTTTGGGCGTGCTCTGTTTGTACTACCAATAATATAATCAGTGGAAACTGACTAGACTTGTTTTGATTCTTGTAGATCAATATGCAACCTCAATCGAGCCACCTTAACATATCTGTTACATGGAGGGGAAAGAAGTTTGTTGTAGAGATGAATGTAGGTGCCAATGTTAAGGATCTAGGACAAGAACTGCAGAAGTTAACAAATATCAAAGAAGAAACCATGCGGTTCATTGTTCCACGTGTTTCTGGCAGACCATCAAAACTGTTGGCCCCCTTTTCAACGGAGCATGCACTTTTAAGTTTGCAGGAAACATCAATTACAGAGGTACTGTCATTTACACATTCTGCATCATTCCGTTTAAGATTTAACTACATGGAAAATATGGTTTCTAGTTCTCTCATTAATATGGATATATAGTTTTTATTGTTCTATAAATCTTTGCACTGTGTTAGTTAGCTGCTTTTCCCTAATAGTTTCATAATACTTTTGTTCTATTTATCCAAAATTTAGGTATGAATACTTTTTCTATTTGAACTAAGCTATCATTGACTGCTTAGGAGGGAACCTCTAATCCGGTGATATGCAATTGATCATTTGACACATATTGTTCAGCAGACTTGAGTGGTTATGGTTCTTTAGATATACTATTTGATAGGAGTCTGAGCCTTAAACCATTGATCTTTGCATTGTGTTAGCTGCTTTTCCGTAATAGTTTCATAATACTTTTGCTCTATTTATCTAAAATTTAGGTATGAATACTTTTTCTATTTGAACAAAACTATCATTGACTGCTTAGGAGGGAACCTCTAATCCAGTGATATGCAATTGATCATTTGACACATATTGTTCAGCAGACTTGAGTGGTTGTGGTTCTTTAGATATACTATTTGATAGGAGTCTGAGCCTTAAACCATTGATCAATTGTAATAATAACGGTGAGCTGGCAGGGAACATTGTGGGTGAGGAGAAGTTGGTTATTTTGGTCGGGCCTATGGGGCATTAAAAGGGGGTGTTATTAATAGACTTATTGCCTTACGGATATGTTGGGAGAGTGGTGTTTGGGAATATCTAGGGCATTAGCTGTAGCCACGAGCATTGCTCTTGGGAATATCTCAGCTGAGATAGTTCTTCTCTACTTTCCTTGATATTACTGTGGTTAACAATATGATTATCTGTTTATTTTAATTTCCATTAAGTTTGACTGTCCGAGTTTCAGTTCCTATCAGTATTCTATCATTTTATGTTTATTTCTTCCACCTTGGATTGGAATTTAAATATGGAAAGGAAAAAATACCTTTGTATGTCATGTTAGGTTATTTGATTAAAATTTGAAAATATTATTCACTCTTCCAATTAGCCTTTCTGTTGAGGAACACTGTTTTTGTTATTAACTTATTATCCTTATTCATATATTCTTAAGGATTTATTGAATTGTTTATTCATACAATATTTTTTTTTCTTTCTGTCTATGTTTGTAATTAGCACTATTTTACCATTGGAAATGGTGAATTTGTTGACTAAGTTATTTGGTATATTCCCCCCCTAAGTCCACTATATTTATTATACAGGCCAGGTCAATTACAATGATGGGTGTTTCAACAAATGAGGTTGAAGAGGTTCTACAAAATGCAAAAGCAGATTTAAGAATAGCTGGATTTGAGGACGAGGAGAAGAGACTGAAACAGAGAATTTCACATGGACCTCTTCTTTCATTGAAACTTCCACAAGGGCAGTATATATTTTGTGAATTTCGCACACTTCAAATTCCAGGAGTAGAGGTATTGTTTTTGCTGTACAATTATTGATGTTTGTTCTCAAGCAACTAATCATGCATATCTGATATTTATCTTTTATATCTCCTTATACTCCTGCATTTATGTTGTTACTAGTAATTTGATGGTTTGGTAAAATACTCCAAGAGGGAGAGAACAGGGACAAAATACTATGAAATTGGTATTGATTTGATATATGATATGTTTTTTTATAATGTGATGATATGATATATAAAACCTTAAGCATTAACCCTATTTATACTAATCACAATCCTAGCTGAATGAGAAAACAAATCTGGAGATAAGAAAATTTGGAAACTGCTAAGAGCTAATGAGAAAATAAGTCTAAAGATAATATAAGACACTCTAAAGATATGATATAGATATTATAGAATATTTTCATATATTTTAACATGCTCGCTGAAGCTAAAGCTTACTAAGCTTTAAGCTTGTCATAGCTAAACCTCTTTTTAAAAAAATAATATGATCTCCTCCTCTATACATGTTTGAGATGATCAACAGTCTGATTCTTGGAAGATATTGGCTAAGCTGACTGGGTCTCACGCTTGACCAAGCATGTGTGAATAAAAGAAACCACAACCAGAAAATAGGAAATCAACAGGGAAAATAATCACCACTGGAAATAAATGTGTTTATTTTTTATGAGAATGAGAGATTACAGAGGAACCAATATTCCTATTGCCAAGTGCTAAGCTCCTATAGGGGGCAAGGCTCTAACTAACTATAAGATTGTTCATAGCTCTCCATCTCTTTCTCTTCCCCAAGCTCCCATATAACTAAATTCCTCTTACAACCTATGCTCCCTTGTCTCTCTCTAGTCTCTACCACCTAAGCAACCACAACCTCAACATTTATTCCCGGCCCCCTTCTTATTTTTCCTAGTGTAAACTTCATATTGCAGGCCTGGATGGCTGCTATGCAAGTGGCCCCCATTGTACCTAAGTCCAAATATGAGGTCCTAACAGTCCACAATGAAGGCCGGATAGTAAACAATAGACTTGCGAATATTTGTCAGCAGGGAAGGCATGCTCAGCTGTGGTGCTGCTATTGAGTCTGGTTAGAGAATGACTCAAATAATTAATCTGGTGATGGTTCTGGTTTGACAAGAGTTACTGCTGCAATGATGTTAATTGCTAGGTGGCTACCATGAAGGCTGCCTAGATTTTTGCAGAAGGACTTTTCTAATATGTGTGGTTGGGCTTGATGACGGTCAAAATGGAAAGGGTGATCACCAACAATTAAAGATTTGACGAGATTGAAGTTGAATGGAGGCTGGGAAGGCAGCGAATGGTGCTCACCTTCCAGAATGTGTAGGTGTGATTGCAATTATTGTAAACACGTGTGAGAGGAAATACGTGCAATAAAGGCACAAAGGAGAATCCAAGACAAGGCAACAGTAGTAATGGACAGCAGTAGCAAAAGAGAGATTGCGGTACGGAAGAAAAACATGGGAATAAAATAGAGGGCTGATTTTTGGTAACTTAATAGTGTAGTTGACTAGTGGTGGGGCAGATGGTAGTACTAGTACCTCTTTGATACCATATCAAAATTATATAGTATTAAGTATAGTAAGAAAATAATAGAGAAAAAATACTATGGAATTGATATTGGCTTGACATGATGCGAATGTAACTTGTTAAAATGTGCAGATATAATAATATATAAAATCTAAAGCATCAATCCTGATTAAGGGAACAAATCTTAAAATATTGGAATTTGGAAAATATGAAAACTAAGAAAATAGGAGATATTTAGGAAATATCCCGACGATAATTTAGGATGCTTTACAATATGATAAAGATATTTTCATACTGTAACAATTATCAGTCTTTTGTAAGTAAAGAATCATGTTATGACTAGTGATATGGTGTTTTGATAAAAAAAATATCATATATTAGCTTTGGGACTGGGAAAGCATATTCTATGAATATGACATTTTGCCTCATTAACTGATTTTTTTTTACTGGTTATTGATTTTCCATCATATTCTCTTCCACCCGTCTCGATGTAAAAGTTTAATGGAGGTTTGTCAACTGATCACGGATGAATTTGCTTTCCTTTATCTTCAGCTGAATCCTCCCCCTTCCGAGGCACTTAAAAGAATGCATATGCTTGCTGCAGATCCTGGAATTGTTGCTGTGATGAACAAGGTACACTACACATACTCAAATTAATTGTCTTATTTATAATGACAATACGCTGCATGTTCTGACAATAGTTTTTTGCATCTTATTAGCATCGTTGGCGTGTAGGAATTATGACTGAGATGGCTCCTGTCGGTTATGTTGGTGTGAGCCCAAAATGCATTCTTGGTCTTAACAAGGTATCTTCGGGATGTCAAATGACATTTTAAGTACCCAACATTGTCCTATTTGTTGATTTCCCTTTTTGTTTTCATTCTTATTTATAGAATCAGGGAGAGGAAATATCATTGCGTCTTCGAACTGATGACCTCAAAGGTTTTAGGAAATATGAAAGCATCAAGAAAACTCTACTGCATGAACTTGTAAGTTATAACATGCACTGGAAGTATCATACATACATATATATTTTATCGATCCAAAAGTATTTTGAATAAGAAAATAAGGAAAAACATAAAATACAACTGTCTATTTGACAAATGGAAGTGGTTGAACTAACGTGTGTTTTATTTCAGGCTCACATGATATACTCTGAACACGATGCAAACTTTTATGCTCTGAATAAGCAGGTTCGTGCACATACTTGGGTGGTTAGCTGTCAGTCCATTATTATGCACTGATTTAGCGCCATATGATTATTTAATTTGTTTCTTTGGCAGTTAAATCAAGAAGCTTCTAGTTTAGATTGGACTAGATCTGCAAGCCACACTTTGAGTGGAGTAAGGAATACTGCAATCTATGAAGATGACTTCATAGCAGACAGTAGCATTATTCCTCAGAAGCTTGGAGGTAACAGGACAGATCAGCTAATAAGTGCTCGTGAATCTTCAGTTGCTGCTGCTCACCATCGATTGGCAAATGTTTCTGCCAACAATTCAGGAGGGTCTGAAGTAAATCAAGAGCTGGATGCTGATTATTCTAGTTCTAATATGAGTGAAAAATCTGATTGTAGGATATCTGTCTCCAAAGAAATGGAAGATATTGACATGGCCATCATTGTTGAGAAAGAACTTGATGGTGAGCCTGACCCTGATGATCATATTATCGATGGAATGAAACATGAGCCTGATCCAGATGATTCTCATCATGGTAAAGCTGTTGATGATGATTTTAGTTCAATAATTACTGATAGCAGAACTGTATTTGAACAAAAACCTGAAGCTTTTGGTGTAGCCCAAGTTTTACATTCTGAAACAAGTACTGGGAATATGGCTGCAACATACTCTGTTGGTCCTTATCCAGATGATTCAGAAACATCTACGAAATCTATTGCTCCAGTTATAGGTAATTGTTTGCCAGAAAAGCGGTCTATGTTGGCATATCCTGTCAAGAATGGGCATTCTGCATTCATAAATCTGACAATGATGACTTGGAAGCAGAAAAGAATAATTTTAAACACGGAAACTATTTTATTCAAGGATTGAACACACGCAAATAATTATTTTTACTAGAATAATCTCGTTTATAGGTCATATTTAAAGAGCTGTACATCAGCTACACTAGTTTTTCCCCTAGTGAGGTGCTTCCGCCTTCAATACAACGAAAAACAAGTTTGGCTCATTAACTCCCCTATAGGTCTGTCACTCCACACGGATAACACTACAACTGTCTGTCATGCCATAAAACATAATTGCCTAATATTGAACAACACAAACATGACTATCTAATAGGAATTCCATAGTCTGTTTTCAATTTTTCTTAACATGCCTCCAGTGGCCATTTGCCATCTCCCTGGCAGGTCCAAGAGAACTTGGCCTATCAGAAACAGTGTGTTGCTGTAAGGAAGTCAAATAAAGAAAATAAATTATTTTAATGTTCGATTGAAAATTAACAGAATAGGGAGAGAGGTCTCTCTTCTAAGGCTTTCCTCTTCATAATGGGTTTCCCTTTTCATGACAAAACACTTGCTCTGTCTTCTCGAAGTACAATTACCTGAACCCTGTCTCTGCATTGTTATCTAACTAATTGTTCTGATAATTAACTACTTTGGCTTCCCTTTTCTTTCAAGCAACTACCCTTTTGTCCTAACTGCTTCTTCATTCAATTGGTTCCATATTTTCCTTAAGTGTTGGATGTCAAGTTAAAGAAATGTTTGTACAGAACCTCCTCATACTGAATCTTAATTAGAAATAAATGTGATGGCAGCACCTGATCCCAATGATGTGGTTCCCACACCAAAATTATCTTCACTGCAAACTGCTGAGCCAGATCCTAATGATCAAGAATTTCAGAGGATAAATGATACCACAACTGCTGTTTGTAACCGTTTGTGGAAGGCTCTGGAAATGCTGAGAAGTGATGTTAGTGCAATGCAAGCTACTTCAATCCTCCAAACTCTCCTGAAAATAATTAGGTATACTTATGCAAATGTTGATTGAATGATCATTGATACCCTTTATGAGTTGAATGGACATCCTTTGCTTTAAGGATTTAGATTTGAGAATTTTCAAAAAAGTAATTCTAGTAACTCTGTAGTTTTGATTTTAAGCTATCCCTTTTCCATATGTCATTTTTCTGTCTGATTGCAGGAATGTGATTGATCACCCTGAGGTGGAAAAATACAAGAGATTGCGGAAGGTATATAATCTATGTTAACCTCTAGCCATGCTGACTACAATGCGTTATCCTAAAATTCACTTAAATTTTTTTATTTCTATATAACGAACATTTTGATTGCAGGCTAATCCAGTGATTGAGAGGACTATTGTCAATTATAAAGGTATGCATCTTCTGACCATTGGGTTTTAATTTAGTTGTGCTTGTTGTGTAGAACTGAGTATCTTATGTACCATGAAAGATCCTAGATATTAGGCATGTGATTCTGGCAGAATCTAAATAGTAACCATTTGATCATAGACTACTTAGAAGTAAAATGTCATGCAATATGTTTCTCTAGACAGCAAGTCAGAAATTATTACAATTTCTTAAAACAACTTTTTTTCCAGCTGCTGATGCTAATATTGTATATGGTCAAATTTGGGCTATTATCTTTTTCATTTTTACTTCTACAGCTGCCATGGAAATTCTATTTTTGATTGGCTTCAGAGAAGATGTTATGTTTGACAATCTTGGGAAGGAAGATGCTTACTTGGTGTTGAAGCGGAATGATCCTGGCTTATTGTGGCTAGCTAAGTCAACCCTTGAACAAGCACAAGCTTAACTTGTTATCCCAGAAAACAGTTCTGAAAGGCAAAGCAAAATTATATGTCGCGGATGCTCTTCATTAGATGTTCATTGTATAATATTTGGGTTAGTAAAGTTCATTTTGTATTTTCAGTCTGTCAAATAGATAAAATTAAGCAGATGGAAACACCTGGGGAAGGAAAAAGAACTATATTTGAAGTGCAAACAGAAACATGGTATGATATCGGTGGTAGTATTCGAGTTGTTCATTGTATAATACAAGATGTCATTCAGTTGTATTTTAGTGAGTGTAAATACTTCTTAAATAAAAGGAATTCATTAAGTGTTGCTTTATTTATGATTGGCATTTACGTAAGAGTAATATTAGGATAGGAGACCAATAATATGAAGGGTGTACCCTAGAGATACCACCTCTAACTTAAACGACTGGTTAGTATCTGATATGGCCCAACCCATACCTATGGTTCTGTATTTGTTATTCTATTATCTTTTTCTATATTTTTGGGAATTGGTAGAGGGTGGGTGGTAATAAAGATAGGGCACTATATTGTGGGTGGTTGGGGGAAATTTTGGAGGTTTTATCTTGAATTGTATTCCGAAGTATGGTGCTCTAGGATAGGGGGCAGTAGATTATTCTGCCAATCTTTTGCTCTATTTGAAATAATACCATACCATGACATGGAAGGGGAGGTTGCAATAATGAGGTAGGAATGATATTAAAGTTGCAATAAGGGAGAGTCTTAGGTTGTGTTTGGATGAGATATAAGAAAATTGATTTTTGTTTTGGATTTAAATTATTTTAATTTTAATTTTTATCATTTATTAAATTTTTTATTTGAATAAATCAATTCAGATTTATAAATTTTAAATTCATAATTTAGATGGGTCAAATTAATTTTCATCATAGGAAAAATTCGTTTATATATATATATATTGAAATTTTAAGATTAAAATTTATAAAAGTAAATATTAGCTAATTTTAAAATATTTAATAATTTAAAAAATAATTGTTAATATTCTATAATTAAAAAAGAATTATTGTACCTTTTATGTCAAGATTAAAAGAGAGGAGATAGAGGTAGGAGAAAAGATAGATAGAGAGAGAGAGAGAGAGAGATAATTAAAAAATAATTATTGTACCTTTTATGTCAAGATTAAAAGAGAGGAGATAGAGGTAGGATAGATAGATAGATAGATAGATAGATAGATAGATAGATAGATAGATAGAGAGAGAGAGAGAGAGAGAGAGAGAGATAGATAGAGAGATAGAGAGAGAGAGAGGGGAAGGGATTATAGATAGGGATAGAGAAGAAAGAGAGAGAGGAGAGAAGAGATAAAATTTAGGAGGGAAAAAAGAATATATTAGAGAGAGAGAGAAGAATGAAGGAAGAAAGAGAGAAGGGAGAGGTAAGAAGGAAGATATGAGAGAGAGAAGAGGGAGAAAGAGACAATTGGGAGATCAAACATATAAATAATACAAGAAAGAAAAAATATGAAGAATGATTTATTTTTTTTCTTTTTTAAGAGAATTTAAAATTATGTAATTGTAAAATTGTTTACAAATATTTAAATTTTAAATTATTTATCTTAACGAGATATTTTATCTAGGGTGACAAAATGAGTTAATCTGACTTGATTCAATCACCTCTAACAATATTGGGGTGAGGTAGGCTGACACATTTGTTGAAAGTGGGTTGGAAATCTTGACTTGTCCCACTTAGGGATGGGTTGGTGCCCACCAAAATTATTTTTTTTTACTATAATTTAAACTAAAAATTTGAATTTATTTGATAAATTTAATCAAGGAATCCATAACATACATTTGTCTTTTAACTTCAAGACTATAAGACAAAAATAATAAATTACAAAGTTTTTCTTTTTCAATCAAGATTATTACTAATAATCTTTCAACAATACAAAATTATAGTAGTCTTTAAGAATTACAATACAAGTTCTAATAGTGTTTCAATAATAAGATTATTTAATAACATAAAATGACATATACCATAAGTTACAAAATAAATAAGAAATTAATATTTGATGAAATGGATTGGCTGGTCAACCTGTCTCGATCTGCCATTTGGTTAGGCAAGCTCATGAACTGAAAAGTGCATCTCACCTTATGAATTTTGGTGAGTTAGCCGTCATAACCTACTTTATCACCCTTATTTTCACTTAAAACATTTAAAAATCATAAAATAATTACTCTTTAGTTCTCTCTTTTTAGAATCTTTCAAAATACATTCATACTAAGAGTATTCCATCTTTTACTTTTGCATCACCTTAAGTAAGAGCTACTAAATAATGTATCTAATCATTCTTTATCTATTACTGAATTTTTCTTTATTATTAGTTTGGTTCTTATCAATCTAGTAAGAGTTTTTCTACCATGTCTAATATGCATACAAGTAATGCAAGGAGTGATAATAATGTTTAAATCAAGTAAAATTACTATTAGTAATATAAATAATATAATATTAGTACATTTATTATTTAACATATTTTCTATACAATAAATAATATAAATAATATAATATTAAAATAGTTGTTTTTATTAAAATTAATAATATAACATTTTTGTTGTATTAAAAAATCAAAAAAAGTTCAAAAAGAAAATAAAAGAGATAATGTGTCTGTATATTTATGCCTATTGCATAAATATTATATTAAATAATAAATTATACAATAAATTTGCTAAAATATTATTATTTTATTAGATAATTTTATTCGTTAATCTTAAACTAGATTGAATTTAAATAAGAAATTTAATAAAAAAATAATTAATTCACACAATATTGTTATATATGATATACTGTTCAAATTATAATGAAAAGAAATAAATAGTCTTTCGGTTAAAATAGAAAAACTTATATTAAAATGAGAATCTTGAGTTCTTGTTTTTGAAGACAAGAGTCTAGAGTTCATCTTTATGAAGTTTTTTTTTTCAAATCATTTCTAAATAAATCATTTTTTCTTGTAATATGAGTGTTATATCATTAACAAAATCTCAAATCACTAGTCTATATAAGTTTGGAGTAATTAAAATCTTAATATTCTAGAAATTGAAAGATGAAAATGTAACTGAAAAAATAGGGACATTCTATTATTTTATTTTACTTTTTTGCTTTAAGGTTGTCTTTTTTATAGCTAGATTCAAAAGAATTATTAAAAGTGAGTGACATATACTCGAATAGTGCCACTTGTGTTTTTGAATACTATATTTTGAGTCCACCATGTTTGTGTAAATATGAATTTGATCGGATAAAGTTTCTCAACAACAAATGGCACCTACTTAGTGTCATTAGTTGTTTTGCATGAAAAATCAATGGTTACATTTTTTTTCTTAAATGACACCCACAAACCTACCATTTTAGTGCATTCTATTCAATTCGATCATAATTTTTATGTGTCTAAGTATAATTATTTTGGTAACTTTTTTAATTTTTAATTGTTAGAAAAGTACTCCTCCAAAGTCTTTGGTCTTGAGTCCTCAATCTTTGATCTTCAAATTGGTGGTTATACTTGTAATAGGGACTCCAATGCCATAGCCAACAAGTATTCAAAGTGTATATGTGTAATCTCAAGAATAAACATACCTTTTTTTAGGTGCAATGAAAGTGGATATATATATATATATATATA